TCAAATCATCGAGTGTTCAAAATGCGATAGTGGAATTCTCATAGACACAATTCACAGGGGTGTTTTCGCGCCTCTTCTCAATAGACCGTGATTCCGATCTGATAGTATATTCTGCGAAGCGCTTTTCTTGCTGGGGCTAGTGTTAACAAATTCTCTAAGGTCGAGCCCGTGAGCTCACCTATCCGCCCGAGCGTAGCTACAATAGCCCCTTAGGCTACCGGCGAATAGTTTGCGAAAATTTTGAAATTTAGAAACCATTTAAGATAAGAAGAAATTCAGAATACTCAATAATAAGTAACAATAATTTCTTCAAGAAATATATTTATACTAGCTGGCTCGGCAAACGCTGTTTTTCCATATAAATTATTTCTCGGAAAGATAAATAACCTAGATACCGACTACAGCGCCATATACCGCGCTGATTTTTGAATCTAAACCATCCAGGGCGCCACCCAAACGCATATAAAAAAATCATTAAAATCGATCCAGCCGTTTAGGAAGAGTTCAGTGACAAACACACCCACAGAAGAAATAAATCTATATATTTATAATTATATATAAAAACGAATTGCTGTTCGTTAAAAGGTAGATAAATATGAAAATACTCGGAATTAAATAAAAATAACAATTTAGTTTTTCCTTTGATGTGTCCCCCGGCGGACAGATTCCTTTTGTTTGTTTTAAGTTTATTTTATACAAACGTTTAGGTATTTTATTTATCGATTGAGGTACTACGAAGTCTGCCGGGTCAGCTAGTACGAGTATAATATAAAGATTTATAAGCTAGAATAATAATTATGACAGACAAATAGAACAATGTCGACCAATCGAATAATTGTGGAATACGTTTCCATGTGTTAGTATAATATTTTCATTTCTCGTGACTACGACTCCAATGTCAAAAGTGTACCAGAAATTTGACAACATAAAGGAGCAATTTAACTAATTCACCAAAGTATTCTCTTATCTCGTAACATTTGGGGCGACATTACAGAAATTATTGGATCCATTAAAATTCACTTTGCGACGAAATCGTTGTAATGCGACGATCAAAGAACTCGATTGAATATACTATTCGCGGTTACGATAAAGTATTTTTTATTTAAAGGTTTTTTTAATTACATATTATACCTTTAAACGAGCAATTCTTGTATATTATTTTACTACTTACTTTTCTACTGGTGGTAGGACCTCTTGTGAGTCCGCGCGGGTGTACCACCACCCTGCCTATTTCTGCCGTGAAGCAGTAATACGTTTCGGTTTGAAGGGTGGGCCAGCCGTTGTAACTGTATTTGAGACCTTAGAACTTATATCTCAAGGTGGGTGGCGCATTTACGTTGTGGATGTCTAATAGCTCCAGTAACGACTAAACACCAGGTGGGCTGTGAGCTCGTCAACCCACCATCTAAGCAATAAAAAAAAATGTTTTTTTTTTAATAATAATATATAATCTGAATCTCGAAAACGGCTCAATGATTTTCATAAAATTTAGTATACAGGAGATTTCGGGGGCGATAAATCAAACTAGCTACGATTTATTTTCAGAAAATATAGTTTTATTCGTGTTTTCAATAATCAACTCTTCCCGACATCTATTGGCGAATAATAATACTATTTTTCTTAATTGAGGGCAACTAACCGCTTTAAAGACACAACAAGATGGCGTTATCAAAAAAAAAAAACCGAGCAAACCTCGGTCATCATCTAGTTACTTTTTATCTGTGACAAAGACTCGTGTTTAGGCTTTGGTGGGGGCTTCAAAGTTTGTCCCTAAATCATAATTTTTACATCGATTGTTCAAACTGAGTCAAAAATGATGGTATACATAAAACAAATTAAAACTAAGTAGGTACAATTTGATAACATAAAATTATAGAGATGATCTATAAGATCTAATTTCGAGACACATCTTATTACTAAAGTCTTTAGCGAAAAATTCCTCATTCTAATGGGAATCTCTAGATGAAAAATATAAAAGTCCGTTCCTTCAATTTAAGTTTGGAGAAGAAAAGCTTTTGAAACTAATAAAGTGCCGGCAAAATGACAGTCTTGGTTCATCATTCGAGTGCACAGCGCATTAGATCAGGGGCACTCGTTGCAATAACACCGATATTGGTTCTTGGCCCCTACCAAAGAGTATTGAGGTAGATAAGGTTTTTTTTATTGCATAGACGGAAGTATGAGCTTTTTTTTTATTGCCCTAGTAGGCAGACTAGCATACGGCATACCTGATGGTGAGTGGTTGCCGTCGCCCATGGACTTCAGCAATGCCAGGGGCAGCGCCAAGCCACTGCCAACCGCCTACTCTTATATACCGCCTATTATATGCTCTAAACCTATTTATTGTTTACATTAGTCCTTAGTCCTGGCAAGAATTCCGCCCCCGCCTTATTTTTTAATTTTTTTCGTCCATAGGGTCAAACATCACAGGTCTTTCCGCGTCTAGGGGGTACGCGCGTATGTGGGACTAGACGGTCTATAGACGTTAGGAGCAGACCGCGGGCTCAAAGTTGATTTAGGGCCCTACCCAAAAAACGACACCCCATGCACTTTGTAGTCTCAACTGTATAGTATAAGGGCTGTTTCACACTCGCAGAACGTTCAACAGGATGCACTAATGCATCGATACCAACGCGGTTGGTATCTCTCCAAGCATTCACGGGACGCCCTATCATGAGTAAAAGGTTGAGTCCGCGCGGGTAGGTACCACCACCCCGCCTATTTCTACCATGAAGCAGTAATGCGTTTCGGTTTGAAGGGTGGGGCACCCGTTGTAACTATACTTGAGACCTTAGAAGTTATATCTCAAAGTGGGTGGCGCATTTACGTTGTAGATGTCTATGGGCTCCAGTAACCACTTAACACCAGGAGGGCTGTGAGTTCAATGCAATAAAAATAAGCTATATTACCTCAGTAGTGTAGTTTTCTTTGGAACCATCGGTCGAGTTAAATTTGATATTCAATAAACAGATAAGTTGTTCAATTTGAAATAAATGCCATTTAATTTATTACATAGTTACGACCGGCTCGCATAGCGCCAAAATCAATAATCCTGGTAACGAGAACTGGATAGTGGAAGATTTCAGTTTCCAAAGTAGCATCTTAGAAATGCTTTCAAGATCATACGATAGTAATTTAAAACAAAGTAAGCTTAAGTTTTATTTCAAAACGTAAGCCAAGTCGCCGTGCAACAAAATGTAAGCCAAAACAGTAGACGACAGAGCTTTTGATAAAAACAAAACTTTGGGTAAAAACAAAAAAGAGAAAATATTTACAGGACATCCATGATTATTTAAATTTGAATATTGCGACCAATTCTAGGATACGAATTGTTCTAAATTGATCGTCATTCAATACCGATTGAAAAGTTACAACCGAAAAGGGCCGATATCCCAATAAAAGATAAAAAAAAGCTACACACACGAACCGTATAAAAGCGATTTAATGGAAAATTGTTTCGATCACTAAGCTTCGAATGTCAAGATTTGCCCAAACCAAGTCGCAGGGACTTTGGTTCTAGAAATATGTGCTTCTTGCTGCATGTTACTACCCGTCATAGAGTCTAAACCATCACGACTAGATGAAACCGATATGCGCAAAGCATTTTGCCATTTTATTACCTCTTGTGAGTCCGCATAGGTAGGTACCACCACCCCGCCTATTTCTGCCGTAAAGCAGTAATGCGTTTCGGTTTGAAGGGTGGGGTAGCCGTTGTAACTATACTGAGGCCTTAGAACTTATATCTCAAGGTGGGTGGCGCATTTACGTTGCAGATGTCTATGGGCTCCAGTAACCAGGTGGGCTGTGAGCTCATCTACCCATATAAGCAATAAAAAATAAATAAATAAAAAATAAATAAAACACCATCTTGAGTGAGTTGTCGTTATCGCTAAAGCTTCAAATTAGTTCTTAACAGTAGACAGAGGCTCGACTATGCCCACAGCATTAGTGATAAACGTTATCCGCATGCTAGTTGTCATCGAAGGCAATAAGAAAACGTGGCGCATCTATTTATTCTTATTCTTTAGCACGCCTCACCTAAATCTGCACGGATCACTAGTGTTATTGGATTTCTGATTTTATGATGTTCCTTTGAGCAGACCGACCTGTTCTCGAATATTATATATTCGCTGCTGCTACGCCGTGTTATTTACGGAATTGCATTTTGTTACTGTGCGACTACCATTTATTTTACAGCACAAAGCAAATATTTATAAGGTTATGATAATTTTTGATGGCGATTTTTTTTCGAATAATTTCCTATTGTCATAATCGCAACTTTTATTTCCTTCACAAGATCAAGTATCACTACGAATCGTTTTAAAATTTGCTTTTTAAATACGTAGCTTTAAGCCATCGACGTGACAACAGCATTCTAGTGTGTCACGTAATTCGTATAAAAGTATGATGGATTGGACGTGTTGTTTGGACATTTTTACCGTCTGATACTGGTCCAGCTAAGTATCCCGGAACACCACTGCCTTCTTTCGTAGCTAGTCGAGGCTTTATCTTAGAGGTTTTTGCTAGAACGTTCGCTAGTTTGGTCAAGAGTTCAGGAAGTTTTCGAGAGTTTTAATGGGTGGCTTCAACATTCCTGCATATCCCAGATCTCATCGGCGCTGGGACTTCGTAGGAAATTCTGCCCTGGTCCATAAGAAAAGGCTGTTAACGAAAATCTACGGTCCAGTTTTCACGTAATACAGTCGTGAAGAGCGCAACAGAAGTAACAAAGCTTTCAGGTCCAAAATAAGCTCGGCAGAGCTATCATCACTTCTCTCTGTTCGGGAAGGGCTCAATGATGAGCTATACATTCTAGAAATTTTACAAGTACTACGTTAATTAATAAAATAATATTACAAACCAAGTCGTAACAATTTTAACATACAATTTTATTAACTTCTTAAATTAATAGAGCGTCAACTTATATACTTTGACTCTCATCTTCCCTAATTTCAACATTCCTCTCAAAATGACTGCGATCACAAATCACAGCATTTTGTCTTTATTTCTTTTTAGCATCCTGTTTCTTTTTATTCGCAGATAATGTTCTATTCAAAGCCTCGAGGGCTATAGCATCGTCTCTTTCTTCTAATACCCTTTGCAGTTCCGGTGGCCACCTAGAGTCTGATCAATAAAACAAATTCATTATTATAGTGTACATGATATCAAAACACATTTTACAATTGGGCGTTTACGATATTCGACCACTATCCTATTTAACGGGAGTTATTCAATCAATTCTTACTGGTGGTAGGACCTCTTGTGAGTCCGCACGGGTAGGTACCACCGCCCCTCCTATTTCTGCCGTGAAGCAGTAATGCGTTTCGGTTTGAAGGGTGGGGCAGCCGTTGTGACTATACTAAGACCTTAGAACTATATCTCAAGGTGGGTGGCGCATTTACGTTGTAGATGTCTATGGACTCCAGTAACCACTTAACACCAGGTGGGATGTGAGCTCGTCCACACATCTAAGCAAAAAAAAAAAGCGAGTTTCTATTTTCATTTTAGACTCTTGAAATATTGTCAGGGTTCGGCATGACTATACCTTCTTGTGTATGAAACACTTCGATTTCTTGGTACTGATCACGCGCAACCCATCTCAATCAGTTTTGCTTTACCATTTTAAACCTTAACTAGTTACATCACAATCGTTTTAAGAACGTATAGATACATAAACATTCAATTTCATATTTTATAATAGTCCCGTATATAATCAGAACTACAGTGGGAGGTTCCCTAAATGAATGCACTAGGATGACCTCGAGTAATCAGAGAAGACGAGACATCATGAGATGCGTCAAGTCTACCCCCTCCCAGATTACGACCATGATCACTCTGTCAAGATTGAAACGATTGAGAAGAATTGTAACTTTTTTCTCCTGTTTCAAGAACTTTCCTCATACAAAAATATCAGCCACACCATACTAAATTATCGTTACAGATTTCATTTCCTAACCTTTCAACAACCCCTCCAGCAATCCACAGCGATTCTTCTGTCTTTCCAGCACGTATTCCTCGTTGTATGTTTGAAGTTCTTTCATTCTCTCAACTGCCGCTTCGTATCTTGCTTCTCTATTCATTTTAGCTGCTTCTTCTATGTCAGGTGTCATTACCACGCTGAATGAAGAATGTATGAAAATATTCAAATATATCTCAGTGATTTTAACTTCAATTACACGCTTACTTTGATGTAGTTTAAGTTCAGGGTTTTTCGAGTTTACAAACGACCTACGTCATGTACCTGGGTTGATGTCGTCATCATGTATGTTCCTGAATCGAAGTGGTATTGCGTCCTGAAAACCCCTTCTCTAAGTCTAGTTGTAGTTCTCTAGATCATCTTTTCTTTGTGGGATTGTTACGTACGATATTAATGTTCCATATGAATGGGTATGAAAATGGTAGTCATTTAATTCACTCATTATTGACAGTTCGGGTGTCATCGCACTCCGATAAAGATCCGAAGGAAAAAATAAATTCACTACATCTTTACTGCACCACATCGCAATCTAAATGCTACCATCCACCCATGACATGACATTCTGACACGAGGACGAAGTCCTGAATTACATCCCATCTATTCCACTGCAGACCCTGATAAGAGAAACTGATGGTAGTTGGTCAGGTTGACGGGAGAAGATCATGCGGACGCTCATCATCCCGCTGGTCAGATCTGGTAACAACGTTTACCGGCCTACCAATAACCGAGGCTATAAAGACCGCCAGGACAGGAAGACGTGGAGGAGCATAGTGCATTGAGTGATCAACACTCTAAGCTAGACACGATCTTCAGCAATTAAGAGACCGACATTGAAGAAGAAAAAGAATCCCATTGCTGCACCCTATCCGTACAAAACGTCCTACCACTCAATAAATAAACAATCCATCCAAGTGTAAATAAATATACGTACCAGTTTTCACCTCTCTCCTTAGTGCACAACGAGATAAAAGACAGCGATATAAATTTATCCTTCAGTTGATCTGGCATTGAAAGATACAGAGCCTCCTCTTCAATGTCAACTGTCATTTCAAGTACTGAAAAGGAAAATAACAATTCCGAGTTTGAAAGCCAAACACTTAATTCCTTTACGATCTCTTTTTTTTTTTTTTTACTAACAGCCACGCCACATTAACTGGTCCCGTGATAAGTTCGTAAAGAACTTGTGTTACAGGTACCAGATAACGGAAATAAATATAAGATTTTTATTATACACATACACATATTTAATATACATCCATAACCCTGGAAAAGACATTTATATTTATCATACAAATATCTTCCCTTGGCGGGATTCGAACCCGCGACCCCCTTGTGTAGTGACCATGTCACTTACAACTACACCAGACGGCCGTTTCTTTGAATTCGTAATGCTAAAATATCATGTCGTCTTTTCGCATTTAAAGTGTACAATTTCCAAATTATTTGAAATTGAGTTAGTATGCGGAAACATTTGGTATAATCACCACTATTTTTCTCATAAATACTGTCAAAAGTGTATAGTTTAATTTCAGTTTTTATTTTATTTTTTAGTTTTCCTATGTTTTGACTACTATGTATTAACTAAATTAATACTTACATAATTTTATCTTACTTTACAAGACAGATTAAGAAATAAAAAATAAATGTTGCAGAGATGATTAATATTAAAAATATTACATGTTAAACCTTTAAAACACTCTCCTGTGAAATTAGTAAGTTTTGAGATTATACAGTTTCAATGCGAGAAGACGATATGTCGTGTTATAAGTTGAATAGGAGATACTTTTTGTCGAGATGAGACCTAAAGAATAAATCTAATAATTGCAGACTTTGCGACTTGCACTATGCACTCTGCGACTTTAAGTTTCCGATCTATTTCTGTAAGACAACAGTGACCACGATATACATTTTAGCTACCAATTTAGCACCATTTCCTCCTCTGTTTGTCCACCGATTTTGCTTTGTAGCTATTGACTGGCCTTAGTTATATCAATACAATAATTTTTTAAACTTTTTTTAATGCTTACTAATCAATAGAGATGTCAAAGTGTTTATGCTTATGATCGAATATCGATCATTCGTTGAACGTAACAATTAAAAGATTCTCTCCCATTTTTACGTGAATATTCAAGGCAGCGCGGCGGGTCAAGTTTACTTTTCTAACTAAATAAATACTACTAAATATTTTTCATGTGAATTGGCTAAGATGGTTTACTGCTTGTGCGTGAACTTACAACCGCTTTCAGTTGCAGGCGTTGGTCCTTGCTGTGCTTGGAATTGATCACCTGAAATATTTTAAAAGGTTTTCAACTTCTAAGCCTATTCAAAAAGCGAATATACAAAATTTACGCAGATACCTATTAAGAGATAAATTTGTTTCAAACTACCGTCTTACATTGCTTCAGCTTAGAGTTGTATCGCGTTACATGCCGTATTTTTTTTTTTCTTGCTAGATGGGTAAACGATTTACTACTGCCATCAAAGGATTTGTACGCTTCTGCATTAGCACACGTTAAAGGCAATTGACCATGCCTTCCCGGGAGTGTCGCCCGGTGTAGTCGTGTTAAGAGATGCACACATTTGAAATTGTTTGCAATAAATATGAAAGTTTCCGTTTTGAAAGTTAAAATATCGCGAAGAGGAGATAGACCTCGATTGATTACTGCATTCGTTGTATCATATTAAAATGTAGACGAGGCAATTAACTCATAAGAGCACTCGTCATCGATCACACGGTAATAATAAACAGAAGAACCATTATCTCGGCAAGATTGTGCATGCAGTGCGACGTCACGCCGCGCGCTTTTTCACAAGTACTACACAAGCGCAACGTGTGAATGTGTTGAACGCGAGCTACATGGTAGACGGAGTGGGGGTTAGGTTTTATTTTCGTTACGGAATTTCTTTACTCGGTCGCTGCACTCAAAGCCCGCAACAAAAGCTATGCAATAGTTTAAAAAAAAAACGAAATCCAGAAAACTTACTTTTAGTTATCTCTTCAGCAGCTTCGTCGCACAGCATTTCCTGAAAATATCAATTTTTGACATCCAAACTTATAAAAACCTTATATTTTTAGAAACGTTTTCCGAAGACAGTCATAGCGATACGAAATAATGAAAGACGGGCTTAAAAAAGATATGAAACACTAACGGAAATATGGATGGTTTGTTGTAAAAGAAGTTCGAGAGAAACGGGAAAGAAATCTATTAGAAATGCTCAACCCTTGTGTAATTACATACTTACCTCAAAAATAGTATATTCCGTTTCGGAGGGAGGAATTGGTGGCGCTTCGAGGAACTCCGCCCGAAATTCTTTCCTGTTAATATATAAATTTGGGCTCAATATTCTAAGTCCTATTAAGCTTTCAAGCCTGAGTCGTATTTATCGTGTGGGGGGCCGAACCTACTAAGAGGTGCCGGCTCTAGCGTGCAGTAGAGTGCAGTATGGGACTTGATGACCAGTAAAGGCCATACCTGAAGATAGCATAGGCCAGGGTCGAAGAAGAAGAAGAATAAGAAGTTATTGCACTAGATGATTGAATGTGCTCACCACTTGATGTTAAATGATTATTGGTGCCTACATCACCATGTGACTATTGGAGTTTGACTTGAGGCTTTAGATCGAATTTTCGATTTTGTTGTACAAAGTCCATCCAATAAATTGAACTTTAAAAGTATTGACATAAGACCTGAGCTGTGCTCCTCTCAAATTCCTGCCGGGCTCAGTAACATCCCATGATCTTCTGGCCGCAGCAAACTCTTGGTCTCTCGTATCATCACGTTTGGCTACAGCTCCTCCAGCAGTTGCCAACGAGCATTCCAGCTCCACGAATGCGTCACCTGGTTGGGGCTGGCGCAGTGGTATGGGTGACTGGGCTTTATCTTTTTCTTTTATTAAAACTCCCTGGTTGTTATTTAAGAGAAAGGAATTTAAGTGTTATTATTAATAACAAAATATATAATTTTGCTTACGATAAGGTGTAGTGAAGATCACGCCTACCTTCCGGAATTAAACTTATAATAACAGTAGGGGAATAGAAGGTACAGTCGAAGGAATATGATTAAAGAAATAGAAAATACCTAAATTGCAGTAATGACATGATCAAGCAAATTTTGCAAATTCACAAATACCGGACAACAGCACCGGGTCAACCGAGTGGTTACATCCGACTGGTCTTCCCTTCTCTGATGAAAGATCTTCCCTTTGTCGTTTTTCCATATGGAATCGTTAAATTATTTATACTAAGGTAAAGTAAGGTCTCATAAGCTTATATAATAGTAATTTGATACGTATAAGTAAACAATCACAAAATCATATTTTTCTTTTTCTATAGCAAAAAGAAAACCGATCTGAAAGTAAGAAGCTTATTTCTGATTTTTACCTTTTAGGGCAGGGATATGTGCAGCAGCAGACTTATGACGATGATTGTCATAGCTTTTAATGACAAGCATAGATAGTTTTGATTATAGATTGTGAACTCATTGTTCATCTACTGAATTTCTCGTCGGATTTCAGTGGGTCACGATTCGGATCCGGTTGTAGATTCTGCGTTAATTATATAGATTTCTCAGAGGTTGAGTCCGTGAGCTCACCTACCGGGTCCGGTCTGTGAGTACTTTAAATAGCCTCTTAGGCTATCAGCGATTAGGCAGGAAAAAAGTCCACCATAGAAAATCTGTCAGACTAATGATATTAACCTTTTCCTTAACCGTTTTCTTAACTGGACTTTCTGGTTTGGTCTCAATAGAATTTCTGATTTCGTCCACCCTCTTCCACTGGGCTACGGTAAGAGGCCATCCATTCGTTGCTATAACTCTGGTTTTAAAAATAATGTTGTTATTCATCGCCAGTACAATTTCTAATTTTTAGAATTGCGTATAGTCGATATTCGCATCTAATTTTGGGTTCATTGTGAGTTCGTGCCGGTTGCTATTAACATCCTGATAATTTTGACCGTAAAAGAGTCATATCTTCAGAGTAAAGGGTTGGATAACCGAATACAATTGATACTTCGTGCTCATTTTTGAATGGACAGTGCTACCGATATCTCACTTTATGATAATATTATCTCAGCTACGGTAGCCAATTATTTAGTCTATTGTAAGTTTCCTAGCGTAACAGAAATATAGTATCTGCGTATTTCACCTTACAGCTATAGCTTCTCGCAAAATCAGTATTCGATCATCCAAAAGATGATTTAAATAAAGATGACTAAATCTACAATGCGCTCAACAACAAATATACTTCTTCAAATATTAAAGTTTAAAAAAATTCAAACTTACTGGATTATATACTGCTTTGGCTCTGCCGGCGGAGGCTTATATTCCCTGAGCTGAAATTATGAGTCCATCTTTATGTACATAATACTATTACAACGGTATTCAATTTTTGAAGTACATTAAAATTAGTTAACAAATAACTGAACTCCTACAAGAAATGGATGATAGACCGACTGAATATATTATGCGAAATGTTACATACAAACCTTGGTAGAAGATCGATTTTTCCCAGTGTTCGGTAGCTTTGATCTGACCGATTTGAGTGAACGAGTGCTCGTACCGCCGTCTTTAACAGTCTAGAAGATAAAAACAGTCTAAATTCACAAATATTACAAGGACACAAAACAAACGCTAATACCACAAGTAAAACAAGTTTAATTTAATGTGTACTTAAGATATCTACTTAATGCTCTCTTCCTTCTAAAGTATATATTATAAATCCGAACGGTAATTTTGTTACGAAGCAGTCATGTATTGACACTCTAGTCTAACCTCAAGTGCTCCGACAAGTACTCAAAATCAGCTAAACCTTTAAGCTCAATTACAAAAAATTGAATCTTGAGAAATATCAACAGGATTAAAATTACTTTTAATTTTTAATCTCGCGTTTGTTTTAGCATTATTTGGCATTTCCGATGTTTAGAATTTGCAGTTTTTGTCGTCACAGATGACTGAAAAGGCGATAACCCAAGAAAATTCTAGATATCAACAGTGCAACAAAAATATACTAACTGTAGCCAAATTAGATTGGGAAGCCGCCCTTTTCTTCCAGTTGATCGAGTCTGCTGGAGGTGCCGGCTCCAACATAATATAGGGCCAATATAATTCACCTTTACCCGAGCAGTGTGCCAACTCTTCGACACCGTTCGGTGTTATTGTGTAAAGGATCGCTACCATTTCCAACTGCAGGCCAAAGTATTCACTTATCACTTTAAATGTTTATTTTTTTATTCAACTTCATGCACAAAGGTACAGTGGCGGACTTAATGTCTGAGGCATTCTTTACCAGTCAGCCAAGGTGTAGAGAGTCCTGTGGTAGGTGCATTGCTTATTGCGAAAATTACAAAATTGATAATAATTTATTAGTGTTATAAGTTATTAGTGCTTATACTATTCCATAGAAATCTCAATGTGAATGCTATAACCTATTCTCGAGACGTGAGGTCAAAATATCCATTACTTTGTATAGGGGTTCTCACACCCCTTTTCCCTTTAAAACCATGAATTCTTACATCTGACCAAGTAGCAGCTGCTCTAAAGCCGATAGCCTCGTGTTTTGTTACAGAAATCTGAATCCCACCCAAGATATTTCTTCTATTTGGCACAAACATCTCTTCAACATGAAGCTTAGTCGCCGGCAGAAGTGGAATGTCTTTGCAGTAATCCAAGTCGTTGTCGCAGGGATGGAATGAATCTTCTATTGATGATAGCACTGTCAACTGCCAGTGACAATCTTGGTTAAATCCGAGAGCGTGATTTAAAGTTCCGTGGCCCATTACAGTATAGCTGTGGATTTTATTATATAATTGACTAGAATAATTTTATGAAAAATATATCGCAATGTGATGATTGTAGGTTTATATTACTATCTCAGAAAAATAACGAAAATGTAACATTAAGATAAGACACATTAGTAACAAAATTTATTACCAAGAGCTCATATTTTACCACTTATATAATAATATATTGGCATCTATTAAGATTGAGAATCACTCTGTATGATTTGATTTATTTTATCGCGTTGCGCCTAATATAATATTGTAATAGGTAGGAATGGCTTATTCATCGGTGATCTTGCGTAAGGAGCTAACTTATACACTAATAATAATTAGCACAATAACTATAACTATCTGCCATTTAATTAGGTATTTAAATCCCAGATTAAGTATTAATTATAGCTTAACGAAACTGTAACCTTCTCAAAATATTTTATATCCCCTTTAGGTTCTACTACTTGCTTACGTAGAATTTTCGATAAATCTGCGAGGAACAATGGTGATAATCTCGAAAAATTACTCATCACTAGTAGTCATGTAGTTCCATGCGCTGGTCCGAACAAATTAAGACGAGATTCGGCTCCAGCATCAATGTCGCTATCCACTGCGTAAGGAACAGATAAGAATAGCGGAACATAGTCCAAGCAAAATATGCTCCAGAAAGGTCACGACCTTCAGCGCTCAGGAACACGATACAAGGAGGAGAAGATTCCACTAGATTTGTCTACAAAGTGCATTTACAGTTGTATTAATACGAACCCACGGTTATTCGGCGATAAATCAAACGTCAAATGGGCTCTATAAGGTTGAGGTAATTGTATTCCATCGTCATTATTATAAACAGCAACAATACAATCTTGCAATGTGCTCAAAACATCGAGATGCACTTTGACTGGGTCGTGACAGTAAAATACTCCTTGAAAGAACGGTATCCATTTGCAACTGGAAGTGACATGAGAAATTCCACTGAACTGCTGTAAGCCGTACACTCCGCTAAGAGCTGAAGCCACTGAATAGGCAGATTTAGCGCCGGGAAACATTAAAAAGAATTCGTTCATTAACGACGAAAGCGCATCTAGATTACCGAAAGCCGATTCCATCACCTGAAAGAAATGTATCAAATAGATTACACGAAAATGTGGACCCAATTTCACATTTATTACACGGTATCTTTCATATTTATTTTTGTGTCTTAGAAATTCAGATGATATATGTATTCTTGTTGAAAGAAAAATGTGTGTGTGTGCAAGTCACATACGGTAGAAGTAAAACTTATAAAATATAAAAATAATCGCAAGGGTCAACCACTCCACAGTGCAATGGAGCAGCCGCACCCCGGGGGAACCGCCTGCATGATCACGGTATCCCGACGCGAGGTAGGCATGATTTAGCAAGAGAAATACGACAACGTCTATCAACTGTGTAACATCTCGTCACCGCGATTCCGGAATTGTTGAATTTACGTGCAGCAACATCTGTTGATAATAAACTTAATAGAAATAAAATAAACATAGTGCGTAACGGAAGAAATTAAAATGGCGCGTAACCGAAAAACGTTACATACGTTTTTTCCTCCCCCACTTCGATAAAGAAGTTTCACTTCAAAATTATCGAAGTATTCTTGTAAAACGGGTAATAATAGAAAATGAACGCTATTAAGTTGTGAACGTATTTAAAAATTGCTGTGACTCAGCCATTAAGTTCATTTTTTTCTCGTCATTTAACCCCTTATATAGTTGGCTGCAATATGCACCGAAAATCATATTTAAATAATATAGAGCTAAGACAATAATATATTGGGTGCCACATACCATAAATATTTAATCAACTCTGATCTCGGTATTTGTAATAAGTCCATGAGGGTCCGATAGCATCGGTTCGGATCCACAGTCCGGCTGTGAGAACACACGCACATTTTTAATCAGACGCTTATCTATAGGGCCTACTAACAACACATCACACAAATAGTACCAATTTCAATACATCCGCATTCAATGACACATGACTGTTCAAACATTTTCTTGCCCACGCTCCTCTCCAAAGAGCCTGAATACGTGTTGCGGCTTCATGTTTTCTTATTACTAAATCTCGTTCTCTTTTCAGCACTCCGCATTGTAATTCATCTGTAGCCAGCTCACAGACTCGAGAAAAGCCTGGAGTCTCTGCTGCTTTTAGCAGTAAATTCATTGTTTCCGAATCGACCAAAGGTTTTTCCTCTGGGACCTAAAAGTACGTATTTATGTCAGGTAAGTTAACGACTGTGAATTTTGTTATTCGCCAAACACATAGGTAATGTAAAAAGAGGTATGTATTTATGTAATCGTTCTAACAAAGTATTTTTTTAAGTTACAGAAGAATGTCTTAACATTTTAGAATTTTATCCTGATTCTCTGAAATCTGATCGAAATGCAAGACCAGTGACAGAACCACAGGATCAACTTCGTCATAAATACACTCCTTTAATTCTGAAGAAAGAAGTTATTTATAATGACAGTTATAAATATGATTATATAGGTGCTAATAGATATTGATAATCTTGCAGAAAGAGAAGAAATGAAGACTAATTTAAGTAGGCTCAAATTTCATGGAGCTACTCGTTATTATCCAAAGATGTCATTAGCTAGGGGAAGCGACAACTTTGCTTTGTACTATGCACTGCACACCCTTGATTTTTTTTTCAACAAGGATAAGTTTCTTAGTTGGAAAAGTGAACGGAATTGCTTCGAAACGATACACAGTAATATAAGGGATTCAATCCGATATTTCGAAGGTTTTCGCATCTGTTATAGTACTCAAGTAAGAGCCGAGTCTCTTTGTAGTAGCCGCCACCAGAGAAGTCATTCGACAACAGATCGAATGGCTGTCAGTCATATATTATTGGGAAATGCATACAGCGACCGAAAAACAAACATGAATCGTTTTTATTAGTCATATCCGTAAATTTTGATTTTAAACATATAATGATTCCACAATGTATTGGTAAAGAAATCCGAAATTCTGGGACAAAAATAGAAAAGGTCAAAATCTGAAAGTATTAAGTAGATACCTGTTCGTCAAGTAATTCTTCTTGAATAACATACTCCTCGGCTTCGGGTATTAAGCAGTCGCATGGATCTAAATCAGCTATCTCCCTTAAAGATTTCAAAGGCTTTGGCTTCATTGAAAAACCAAAATCAGGATCGCAGAAATATCTCCTCAAAACTGCACTGACCGTCTTGAATTCAGCCAACAAGAGTTTCTTCTTTAAAACTGACTGTAAAGCCTGTTTGAACATCCAGTGGAGGAGAGGTCGTTTATAGCCCACTTTATCTGGACTCCATTGAAGGTCGGGTTGGTAGGATCTGATAAGAACTTTTATTTTTTTAAATCTATGTTTTAATTGAAGAACATGACATCACATGTAAATGAAACCGCATCTTCTGATGTGTGATCGGATTTTCTATTGGATTTTAAGAAAGAATATTCTAACTTTAAAACTAAACTCGTAACCTTTTTACAAAATTACTCATGTCAATATCACTTAAAATAAAGGTTACGGAGATTCATATTTGTATATAGAGAAGACGGGAGGAGTATAACAAGTTGAATAGTCCTCTACTAAAGTACTATTACAGAGTAGATAATAGAGTACATTTTTAATTGCGATACACATATTACCCATAGCATATGACATACCATATTACTCAGTACGGAAACAAAAATATTCTTACTTATGAATATATTTTTATTTTATTTTCTGAAGTCGTCGTGGCCTAAAGGATAAGACGCCCGGTGCATTCGTGTTGAGCGATGCACCGGTGTTCGAATCTCAGGCGGGTACCAATTTTTTTAATGAAATACGTACTCAACAAACGTTCACAATTGACTTCCACGGTGAAGGAATAACATCGTGTAATAAAAATCAAACCCGCAAAATTATAATTTGCGTAATTACTGGTGGCAGGGCCTTTTGTGAGTCCGCGTGGGTAGGTACCACCACCCTGCCTATTTCTGCTGTGAAGCAGTAATGTGTTTCGGTATGAAGGGTAGGGCAGCCGTTGTAACTACACTTGAGGCCTTAGAACTTATATTTCAAGGTGGGTGGCGCATTAACGTTATAGATGTCTATGGGTTCCAATAACCACATAACACAAGGTGGGCTGTGAGCTCGTCCAGAAATCTAAGCAATAAAAAAAAATTAAAAATTAAACTGCTGTATGCTTGCTTTTTTTTTAGATAATAAAAATAGTTGGACAAAGCGGTGATCGAACTCTTTGCTGCTATAAATAATTCGACTGCTTCCAAATGTGTGTGTGTAAATACTGAAGCATAAACATACTTGTAAAATTCTCTGTCACCCTCGACAACATTCGTGTTAGATCGGTTAATCTTTATCCAATTCGCAAAAGCGTTTCCGAGACCTGTCAGGAATTTCGAAGCCCACGGGCATTCGCGTACCGCAGCCGTCTGTATCAAGTCTCTTGTGCCCAAAAGCAACTTAGATTCGCTCAGTAACATCAAATGCCAATGCATTCGAGAATGAATCCAGAGTCTGGAACGTATAATGCATTTGCTCATGTTAGTAGTCTTACTCCCCTGACGAGTTCGACTATCTAGTCATACAGAATAAGGATATGCGACTCTGACCTCGCCGCGCTACATTTATTATTGGCTCAAATGGGACAACAAGTTAACGAATATACCGATGGCGGAAAGGTTAATTGATTAAAGTGACATTTTTAATATCTAAAGCGGTTATTTTAGTGTCTGTGACGTAATACTATTGAAAATCAAAGGTCATAAGGTCGATCTTTCAATTATTTGGAATACAGCGAATTGCCGTTTTCTCGATAAAAACAATCTCTTCTAGACAACAATTTTAAGCGTGTATTGTGAAAGGAAGGTTATTATACTCTTGAAAACCCGAACACATGAATGATTCAAAATAGTTTTTGCAAGAAGGGTGGCTGTGATAGCAGCCTGTGTGGATTTACAAGTGACAACGTGCACTTAGTACTGCCTATTGGTAAGGTTAGTGAAGTAGATCTTTTTTTTTTGTTTTTTTTTTTTTCTTTTTTTATTGCTTAGATGGCTGGATGAGCTCACAGCCCACCTGGTGCTAAGTGGTTACTCGATCCCATAGAAATCTACAACGTAAACGCGCCACCCACCTTGAGATATAAGTTCTAAGGTATCAGTATAGTTACAACGGCTGCCCCACCCTTCGAACCGAAACGCATTACTGCTTCACGGCAGAAATAGGCAGGGTGGTGGTACCTACTCGTGCGGACTCACAAGAGGTCCTACCACCAGTAAGATCTCTAGAGTCTACTCTGTTTGCCCTAGCAGCGATACAGAATGCAACATTTAGTTTAAATTTTGGAATCACCTCACATTTTACGCCTAAAGTTAATTATTTTTTAAAACAAATAAATAAATAAAGCTTTTATTTGTTGAGTTTGCAATCTTTGTAGAATGCACCAACATCATAACTGAGAAGAATCAGCAAGAACTTAAGGTCTTTTCAACTGCACTTGCGAATTTTTTCATTACATAGTAATACAAACTCACCTACAAAAATGCCTACCAGGTTCGAATTCAACTTCAACTGAATCATAGCCCCGCGTCCGGACAAATCCCTCGGCAACTGGCTGCTCCCAATCTTCAAACCACGCAAACCTCTCAAGAACCAAATAGGCAGGTTCTATGTTATCGACTATTGGATTACCAGAATTGAGGAGTATGGTTGGGTTCAATATGCTTAACGATAGCCAAAGCTTGTTCTCTTCGGGGCTGTCAATTTGTAGGTACATTGGCCCAGATTTCGGTGCTGGGATGTCCAAGGCCTTGTTGGGAGGAGCCTTCGTAATCCTGACAGGCGGATTGCTGGCAGCTGACGTAAATTGATACATTGACGGGTAAAATACCACACTTGTCCTTTTGATACGTTCTCGCAGCTGGAATCAATTAGGACATGTAAAAATTGAGCTATGTGTGGATTCGTTTGTCAAGTTCCTAATAAAATAGCTTTGGCTTTTGGTTGAAATATCTAAAAACCGATACCCTAATGTCCAAACTAAAAAGAGCCTTGGAGGCCTAATTCGCGCAGTATATTTTGGAGGGTAAACAAGATCATACCGCATCTGAATGTGGGACACGTACATACTCGTACAATGTTATTACGAAAGGGAATAGGAATGCAGAGAGCGTATGGAATGACCCTTTAGGCGCCACCCGGTTCGCAGATCGAATCAGTAAGGATCTCGTAAAGTCAAAGGTGCCTGATTGACCTGGGTTGCTAAAACAAATTAGTAGTAAATTCAGTTGATGAAAAACATTCGACATTAGGAAAAACCGGGCGGTTACGACGCAGGCTATTCTGAACACACGAGTGGGTTTTTATTGCATACGCATTGCGTCAGTGACGTTCTTGTTTCGGGAACGGAAAACTGTTTTTCATTTGAAAAACTGATGTTGATTCCTGTTGTTCTAGGCCAGGTCTACATCAAGCTGCGGCTACAGGCGTATTCACCTATATTTCAGTCGGTAAAAAATACGGTGCATGTTAATTACCGCTTTAAATTTGATCCATTCTCTTAATTCTTCTTTCTGTTGCTGGCTAACCGCTGATATACCCGTTACTGATTTATTATCCTTCGTTGGTTTCTTTATCTGAAATATTAACTCAATTTAAGTATACGGGTTTTTTATGTTAGTGTAGTGAAGAAATTATGTTAGTGTGGCGCACTGTTAGTTAACATAGGTTTCTATTGTGTCTTTGTGAGCTTAGTGAGAGTTTTTTAACGTTCTCGATAGCGTAAAAGTTAACTCAAGTTTGTATGCAAATGGAACAGCGCCCCTAGCGGTAAATGTAGGCAAACTTTCCAACTCCATACAAATTTGAGTTAACTTTTACGCTATCGAGTACGTTAAAAAACTCGCACTAAGCACACTGTTCGCGACTTTCCCGGGTGGAATTTTGTGAGTGTCAGATGTCATTCACGTTATTATGTTTCTCGGCTCCGGTTACCGCATAACATCAAGTGGACCCTAAACTCGTCCACTCACCACACGACCCATACCGCTAAAAATAAATAAACTTACGGCCGGAGTCGTTCTTTCGTGCTCATCACGAAATCCGAGCGTGATCTGTGGATTACAAACCGGTATTTTAATAAAGAATTATTGCATAATTAAACACAAAATTGTATATTCACGTCTGTTAGTATTTATCTGCGTATCGTTTGCCCGATTTTGTTGTGCTTACGTGAAAATATCTAAATGTACCGCACTCCAAACAGCTCAACGCAAGCATAAATAGGGAAAAGAAGAGCAGGAAGTAATTAAGTTATTTCTGCCGTGAAGCAATAATGCGTTTCGGTTTGAAGGGTGGGGCAGCCGTTGTAACTATACTGAGATCTTAGAACTTATATCTCAATGTGTGTGGCGCATTTACGCTGTAGATGTCTATGGGCTCCAGTAACCACTTAACACCAGGTGGGCTGTGAGCTCGTCCACACAACTAAGCAATAAAAAAAAAAAAAAGAAGTGCGAAAACATCAATGTGAAGTGATGCGGCTAGATTAGGTTCTATCTTTTATAACGGAGTCTGGAATAGGGTTCAGCGGTAGCCCGAGATGAGGTAGCCCCATAGACATAGCCCCTTTGTACCACAGCCCCTTTATACCAGTCCCTTTATCCCATAGTCCCTTTATCCCATAGTCCCTTTATCCAATAGTCCCTTTATCCCATAGTCCCTTTATCCCATAGTCCCTTTATCCCATAGTTCCTTTATCCCATAGTCCCTTTATACATGGTCCCTTTGACCCGTAGTCCCTTTGTTCCATAGTCTCTTTCAGATTTTGAACCAGCGCAAAATCAAACTTAGGCTGGTTACTGGCTTTGACATTGTTTTTTCATGGAAGCTTCACAATAGCGCTATAATTTCCATTCAAACATTTTGGGGAAATCATCAATATTTTAAGTAAAGGATATGCAAATGTGGATACTACTCTAGAGCTAGAATAAAAATCATTGGATTCATTAAACTTTTATTCTCGTCTGATCCGCCTAGTTTCGTGCTATTCAGAATGAGGAAATATAGGAACTAAGTCTGTAAAAATAACGTATGACGTCATTTACTTGTCTCTTATGATACTGATAATATCGAATCATGTTCGCGTGACATTTTGAAACATACGACATTAATATAACAACAGCGATATTTCAAGTAGACAAGATTTGTTCAGTAGAAGCTAGAGCTGAGGTGGATAAACGATTAAAATATTTAATTCCACATACCGATTCAGTACTCTGGACGTCCAGCAAATGAGGAGCGTAAGACAGTTTCATCAGACCGTTGACCTTCAAGAATTTAGTCCTGGGACAGTCGTAGGCTTCGTAGAGTCCACGACCGCGAGCCCAGTCTATCCAGCGGTACTGCTTCCATTGTGACACATCTGAATATGATATTTTAAATTACACTTTCGTTCACAATAACGATTACACACAACCTATTAAACGTAAAAGTTATTGGTGGTAGGATCTCTTGTGAGTAGGTACCAGCACCCTGTCTATTTCAGCCGTGAAGCAGTAATGCGTTTCGGTTTGAAAGGTGGGGCAGCCGTTGTACCTATACTTAAGACCTTAGAACTTATATCTCAAGGTGTATGCCGCATTTACGTTGTAGATGTCTATGAGCTCCCGTAACCACTTAACACCAGGTGGGCTGTGAGCTCGGCTACTCAACTTAACAAAAAAAAAAATCTATTTTTTAGTTAACGTCTACTCAACAACAGTTGAACCTTACGCTCGTCTATCAAAACTAATAAAATATCAACTTCATGACCAAATTTCGCTTAAAAGATTACCAGGCTCCGGTAAAGGCTTCTTCAACGGCAAATCCCTGATCATTGTGACCAAAAGGAGCATTTCGTGTCCTGGCGTGATGCCAGGTAAGGTGTACGGAGGCTGATCTTTCGTGTCTTCTATTTCTATGTAGGTTAGGGAGCTCCGCTGGAAAAATTTAGTTTTTTAATTACATTTGCGGTTGCCATCGTGGTCAAATCGATATATATCTACTTGAACCCGTGCAGCCGAATCAACTAGACGTGTCAACATGTTCTTCTCTTAATGGACTATTAACTTAATGGACTCTAATTCATATCTTAAGGTTCGGGGAAATTTTAAAAACGTAATCTTGGCGAGTTAAATCATATCGAGCAAGATCGAGGAACTGCTAATTAATAGCCCTTGCAGCAGACACTTGGGAAAGACTAAAAAATAATAATAATAATAAATAAGCAGATAGTAATATGTTAGGTTTTTATGTTACTAACATAAGTAATACTTACTACCATAATGTATAGTTTATTTAACGAAATAAAGATGTAATAATAATAAATAATTATAATAGTAATAGAAAAATCACTGAAACTGTTGTATAGTACCAGCTTTCTGGCTAGTATACTAATGTACAAGTATACTAGCGCTTAAGAGGATTTGGATTCCATGGTTAGCCGTCACTCTAGTTCAGCAGTGACTTTCAATCTCCTTTTACAATCCGTTTGGCATCATTCTCATTAAGATATCCAGATATACATGACCAAGTCACAGCATATCTTGTGAACTTGCCAAACGATATTCACAGGCTTCAACATCACCGGTCGTAAGTATTTTGGTATTGTGGCATCCTCTTACCCTGACAGCTGAAGTATCCTTGGCTGTAGGTTTCTTGGTGCTCTTAGACTTGACTGTACTCGCTGTGGTCTCGTCGTCATCATCCCAAAAGAACGCAGGCACCTCGGACACTAATAACTTCCATAGTTCATTATAATCTGTAAATTGAGAATAAAATCGAAGCCGTCTTAACTTAGCTCTTGGAACATGCGGTAGGTAGCGGCTTGGCTCTGCCCCTGGCATTGCTAAAGTCCATGGGCGACGGTAACCACTCACCATCAGGTGGGCCGTATGCTCGCCTGCCTACAGGGGCAATAAAAAAGAAATAAAAACAAAACATGGTTAACAGAAGCTCATGGAAATACCAAGCCTATACCTTTGTGATGTATAGCTTGTATTCCAAAAATCTAAAAGTCACTAAAGCACTTCTTGACTGGAAGCCAGTATTTTGGGCCCCCATCTAAACATTACCAAACCACTAGATACATTTTTTTTAATGTCACTCTTTACCTAGAATCCTTCTTGTCAAACACATGCATCCAGTTAGAGCATGGATAATATTAAAGTCTGCCATTTCTTCGTCTTCAATACACGGGTCTTCGTCGCAATTCATATTCGGAGCTGCGAGCTTCAGTAGCGCCTGCGAAATTTAGCTTAGCATTTCTCTGTCCTAAGATTTTAGTTTCGTAAAGAAACAGAAAAACCTCCTGAGAATAATTTAGTACCATTACTGGCAGATATGTATGAGACCCAATTGATAGTGGGCGATTACCGTCGTTCATGGACATTAGCAAGGTCAGGAGCATAGTCATTGCCTACCTCTATGTACTATCCGCAAATCTCATTTTAAGAAATTCATGTCAAAGCGCTCAGGAAACACCAATTCATTCATTCACCAGTTTGCTATAAAACCAGAATGTAGATGGCAAAAAATCTCAGAACGAACACGTGGTTTTAGATAGTGTGGATGAATTCTGATGGCCAAGTGATTGCCGGTGCGATGGTAAAAATAATTTTAAAGCATATTTTATTACCAGCGTCCATCGTGCCTCATATAGATGCCCCTGTTCACTTTGAGACAGAAGGAAGTCGCGCTGACTCGAGAAAACAATTCGTGGTCTACAGCATATAGTGTACAATATCGAGGGGTAAAAGACTATTTAGGTCAACCGACATTTCGCTTAATAAGCTGCATTTACTACAACTTGATGTTTTTAATTGAACTTAAATTAAACTTACTGTATTCAAATAGCTGAAGAAGTTTTTTTGCTATGATATTTTTTCCAAACTTTCTCCTGTAAAGTTGCGAAATTGTCACTTAAACTAGTCTTTCACCCCTCGATATTACAATTAACGCGTGATGCAGCTTTCGAGTCTGCAGATAAGTACCGATTTTTCGTAAACGACTTCCACCATGAACGAATACCATAGACCATTTTAACTGGTGGTAGGACCTATTGTGAGTCCGCGCGGGTAGGTACCACTACCCTGCCTATTTCTGCCGTGAAGCAGTAATGCGTTTCGGTTTGAAGGGTGGGGCAGCCGTTGTAACTATACTTGAGAATTAGAACTAATATCTCAAGGTGGGTGGCGCATTTACGTTGTAGATGACTAACACCAGGTGGGCTGTGAATTCGTCCACCCAACTAAGCAATAAAAAAAAAGATAACTATGGAAAATACAGCAACATTTATATAAATTAATTAGCTGCGGTAGGGCGTCTTAAGAACCGCTATGCGTAGGTACCACCGCCCTGTAGATTACTGTCGCGAAGCAATGACCTGTTTCAGTTTGGAATGTAAGATAGCCATCAGTAGTAATATTGTAGAGACCTCAATGTCTCAACAACATGTAAACCTAAGCCTGTTTAACCAGAAAGTTTTGCATTAGCATTATTTTTCTACACAAATTACCTACACTAGAAAATTGATAGCATCATGCAAAGGAGTCGCAATTTCCGTCTTCTTCAATCGGTTAAAATCGCGTGCTCGTTTTAAATTACAAAATAAATTGAACGTATATAATTTTATCACCCACCAAGCGCTATAAAATACAGAGTTGTCTTATAAACCGGACACTCCTATGACGGTAATATATTTCCTATTACCCTCCTCCTCCAAAGTGCGTTTTTCCAAACATAATTAAATCAAGCCAGCAAATAATACCGTGCTATTAGCGCTTCAGGGAAAATTTTGGCCTTACGTATGAAAAGTGAGTTGAGAGTAGTAAATAAACAAATGGGTAGCTTTTTAAAGACAATTAGCGATAGTCACAGCTGGCCGTGATCGAGGTTCTAATCTCTTCTCTATATATAAAAATGAATTGCTGTTGGTTAGTCTCGCTAAAACTCGAGAACGGCTGAACCGATTTGGCTAATTTTGGTCTTGCAATATTTGTGGAAGTCCAGAGAAGGTTTAAAAGGTAGATCAAAATGAAAATTTTCGGAATTAAATAAAAATAACAATTTTGTTTTCCTTTGATGTGTCCCCTGGCGCATCGATTCCTTTTGTTTGTTTTAAGTTTATTTTATACAAAAGTTTAGGTCTTTTATTTATCGATTGAGGCACTACGAAGTCTGCCGGGTCAGCTAGTAACTAATATTTATTAACGTATTGCAGTAAAGCATTTAAATTTATTAAGCTGTGGGTGCTAATATTTATTTCTACGAAGCGCGTTTGTGAAATATGAACAGGTTAGTGAACTTGGATGTCATATTTCATGATTGGATGTTTTCTTTCTATCCTGCCATCGAACTTGGCTCAATATCTTGTTTGCTTAATTATCAACCAGTGGGAGGGTCAATGGGGCAAAAAGATCCTGGAGTGGCGACCACGTACTGGCAAGGGCAGTGTGGGACGGCCACCTACTAGATGGACCGACGACCTAGTAAAAAGCGCTAGGTCTCGTTGGATGCAGGTGGTAATGGACCGGTCGCACTGGAAATCTATTGGAGAGGCCTATGTCCAGCAGTGGACGGCGATAGGCTGAAATGATGATGATGATGGGAGGGTCGTACCAAGGCTCCCATAGTTATGCCTCTGTGCATTTTATTTATGGCGCGATGCAACGACGCATCCCAGTTTATGGGTCTCTATGGTTCACTTAAAACTTCAGGATATAAAGGTGATATGGTTAATATTATTTAAAAAGATCACGATATAATTAATCATTCATAACTACCTACTCTTGTAGTAGAGACTAAATAGAAACCTTTTTTTTTTGATTGGGGAAATAACGTTCAGTCCCGTCATTCTTTAGTGGACGACAAACCTAAATTGAAATAGCTAACAACAATTTTCGCAGCCTCGCTTTCTTAGTAAATGTTAAGCCAGGAGACATCATTAAAGAGACATTTTTGCGGTAAAATTAGCGGTAGAGTACGGTACGGTTAGGTTAGAAGCTACGTTCGAAGATGTTGTGGTCTAATGAATAGGAGGAGCGGTGTACTTGTAGCGAGTGATGCCACTACATCTGCTTTTCAATATATTTTTTTTTTTTATTGCCCTTGTAGGCTGATGAGCATACGGTCCACCTGATGGTGAGTGGTTACCGTCGTCCATGGACTTCAGCAATGCCACGGGCAGAGCCAAGCCGCTGCCTACCGTTTAATACTCTCCACAAGCCTCGTTTGAAGAAGGACATGTCATTACGCTCGGGAAACACCGTGGAGCGGAGCTCATTCCATATTCCACAACACAGCGTTTAATAAAAGGAAACGTGTAAAACAATTAATTTGCACCAACGCATTTGGACAGATGGCGAACATTACGATTAAAACTTTGACATCATGTCTTAAAGTAGCATTCATATCTATAAGCTCTGGTAGTCAATACTGTTACGCCGGTAAGAGTAACGGCATCTGTCATCAAATAGCAGATATCAAAAGAACTAGTAATATCGAGAACGCTCGAGAAGTGTAACGCCATCTATTATAAAATAGTGGAAACACATATCAAAACAACTCTTCCTATTGGGAATGCTCTCAATAATTTTATACTTGTCGTGTCAACTATAAAAGCGCTGCAGAGATGACATGAAGGCAGTTAGTAATCGAATCTACTCGAAGCAAAACAGCGAACGGATCACTTGAAGCGAAGCGGAAGCAGTGAATTGCGTATTGTAAAGTAATCCTTAAGTGCTCTAAGTGTTGAATAGAGTTTTAATTTGTACTCCAGTTAAAGTTTTATTTATCCCAAGGCACAAATAAATATAAATATTTGGCGCTGGCATAAATTTTTTTCCTACCTATGCCAGCGTGACCGGGTGACTAGATGAGCTCACGGGGCTCTAACCAGAGGATGATGCTAACACTAGCCCTGGCAAGAGCAGTGCTTCGCAGAATCTATCAATGGATGGGAAACGCGACCCACTGAGAAGATCAGACGACAAGCTCAGTGGGCTGTGTCTGAAGTATTAGAAAGGCTGGTCCATTCGCATGGTTGAGTTATTAATACTTTCAAGGTGATGGCATTTGTAGCAAATAATCGACTCAGTCAATGACCACTAATACTATCTCTGTCTCGTAATCAAATTTACTCTTAGAGCAGAAATGTATAGTGTATTAGTATGTGGACTCCATTAATGTTAACCATTAAAAATAATTTACCAATCGTATCTTCGTCTTATTTTTTTATTTACCAATAAATTAAAACATTTGTCTGTATGGTCTTTGTATACATTCATTGAACCAAACCCTAAAGCCCTTCACCGAATTTGTTATTGTAATTAGACTGGGTTAGGCTCTGGAATTTCGGTTTACGAAATTTGAAGTAACGCTTACCAGACTTCGCAAGAATTCAGGACTAAGTATCAGATCAGCATCATTCCGTATTAGTTATTCCGCATTTGAGTAGGAGAGACCTCTTGAGGCTCATTTTAAGAACATGAACAGAATTCAGAACAAAGTTATTTGTTCGACCAAAACGAACAAAGAAGTCGAAAGCGCGTTCTCAAAACAGCATTTAATTTATAAATTACTTACTAGCTGACCCGGCAAACTTCGTAGTGCCTCAGTCGATAAATAAAATACCTAAGCTTTTGTATAAAATAAACTTAAAACAAACAAAAGGAATCCGTCCGACGGGGGAAACATCAAAGGAAAAACAAAATTATTATTTTTATTTAATTCCGAGCATTTTTAAATTTATCTACCTTTTAAACCTTCCCTGGACTTCCCCAAATAAATCAAGACCAAATTAGCCAAATCGGTCCAGCCGTTCTCGAGTTTTAACCAGACTAACGAACAGCAATTCATTTTTTATATAGAGATTGGATTTCACTTTAATATATGTCTAGTTCCCATCCAAATTCCCATCTTAGTAATATGATAGCTTATCTAGTGATGTATTTGATAATAACGCCATACGATATCGGAACAAAAGTCATTCATTTGGTCCAAAATTATAATGTATTAGGCACAAAATAATTTTACCTCTAGACGGCGTAGTAATACTAAAATTACGAGATCCTCTGACCCCGATGATTAAGGGACACTCAAAAGGGTCAAAACCGTGAATAACTGTTTACGGCCACCAAACGAAAAAGCGCTTAATGGATACTCACTTTGCAAATCAGTAATGGCCACAAATGCACAACATTAGCAGTAACAGTGGTAGGAGCGAGTTTGCTGCCGGGCTTCGAAGGTATACGATTCATCAGCGGCGAAAACGGCAGCAAAGGAGCTGATGTAGCGTCCACTGGCACTTGATCATTTACCCATACGCAACGCCACGCGCCCAAATGGAAAAGCCGTACTAGATAACAACCTGAAAGGAGCTTTTGGTTTATATTGGCTTTACAGACTTGTTATTTTTTTATTGCTGGGATGAGTGGATGAGCACACCAGCCCACCTGGTGTTAAGTGGTTACTGGAGCCTGTAGACATGTACAACGTAAATGCGCCACCCACCTTGACATATAAGTTCTAATGTCTCAGTATAGTTACAACGGCTACCTCAACCTTCAAACCGAAACGCATTATTGCTTCACGGCAGAAATGGGCAGAATTTACAGAATTATGTAATTATTGTGACTTACAGCAACACCGTTTTGGTTTGATCAGTTTATGAGAATAGTTAATCTAATTAAAATACTTCATTATATTATTCTCAATGTTCGAATATCTTACAAATTGAAATTAAGAATTACAAAATTCGTAAAAATTTCAAAATTGCAAATTACACATTGTTGAAAGATTTATTGAAAGATTCCTAATTAAAGCTCGTTAAGGTTGTGTTTTTCAAAACTAAAAGCACCAATCAGTATTGATCACCGTTTTTAGACAGCCCTGGTTTATGTTGTTGTCCACCGCTAGGCTTCATTCCGGGCGAGTAGATATGGAACTTCGCCCTCCATCCTTCCGGGGGCAAATTGAACAGAAAGTTCTCCCATTGGTGTTCAACCTGCGGTTTTTTTTTTATATAGTGGTATTTCTATTGTGTCGAAGGCCAGAACAGAAATAGGAGGTAGGGGGCTGCACTCAAGGGTTCAACCCAAAAATGAATTTTATTAACATAGTTCAGAGAGATTGCAGATTCCCTGATAATTCACAAGGATTAATTACAAATCAATGATTAATTAAGTATATTCTACATAATATGGCTATAAATTTTTTGTAGTTTTTTGCGTTGGCTCCTCTATCGTTTATGGATTACTGGCTTCAGCGCTTCATTTAACTGCATTTAAGACTTTTATATTTTACTCAAGATGGAACGGTGCCATTAACGTTGTAGTGTCTATGAGCTTCGGTGAACATTCAACAATAGGCAACGGAAAGCAATACTCAAACATAATGTAAAGACCGCAGCCATTGAGTTTTAACAAATCAAAAGTAAGCTTTTGAACCTTGTGAAACTTTCTCAACGAGCCGCGTCTCTAAAGCCTTTCACTTGTGAGCACTCACTTTTAAGTTTACTTGAGTAAAGTTTGCACTCAAAGTGTGAACTCATGTTGTGCAAGTTACAAAGAATACCTTTGAAATGTGGTTTAGTTTTCTTTTAAGTTGAACCGAGCTGGGCCCGTAGCAAAAACTGTAAGCTGATTGTGATCAAAATAGCATATTCCTACGTAATGTGAAGTCTGGTTATGACACTGGTGGTAGGACCTCTTGTGAGTCCGCGCGGGTAGTGGTACCACCACCCTGCCTATTTCTGCCGTGAAGCAGTAATGCGTTTCGGTTTGAAGGGTGGGACAGCCGTTGTAACTATAATTGAGACCTTAGAACTTATATCTCAATGTGGGTGGCGCATTTACGTTGTAGATGTCTATGGGCTCCAGTAACCACTTAACACCAGATGGGCTGTGAGTTCGTCCACCCATCTAAGCAATAAAAATAAAAAAGAATGATCCGAGCTTGCAAGTAGGGAAATGTTTTAAATTTTGTGATGGCAATTCTAATGCAAGACGACAGATCAATCAACCTTAATTTACCCTTTATATTATAAACATAACCGAAATGATCGAGTTAACTATTGTATCTAAATAAAATGACAACATGATATTATTATGCCAAATGCCCAATAAATAAATTCATATTTACGATGATTGCTTCAGCCCTTTCCAGAATAAAGCAAATAGACATCACGCGTCTGCAGAAAGAAGATCTCAAGAGTACTTGAGCGTGACTGAGCTGAATGTCTGTCACTGACATTTTGCCGCCGTTGTTTTCCTGTGACCGAAATTATTAGCTATTAATTTTCAATACCAATCTAGCAGCCTAATTAATCCTAGCCCAGACTCGGCAGCATGTGGGCAGACCGATTGCTGACGAATTCAAAGACCCACTTCGGGCTGTTGCTCTCGTGGGGTCAAATAGAAAATGTTTCAAAGGAGCATTAGTATAGACCATTAGTGAGAACTTTCTTCTGTCAACTGGTCATATATACAATTTACCATCATACTAAGTCGTCGAGAATCTATCCCCAAGCTGCAGTACTTAAAATCACTACATCAAAATACACACCATCTATCATAAAACACTATAAAAAAGATACCAAATGATAAAATTTTATCGAGAAATTGGATTTAATTAAAATTGGTATTTATTATTAATCCTGTGAATCTGTATCCTGAACATATGGTCTATTATGGTGAAACTAGAGGAGAACTGTATTTAGCTGTCAAAGTCTGGGGTTTGGATAATTATAAAGCTTATACCAGGCTTGGTATTTCTGGTTATCACTAATGTATACCAATAAAAGAAAGAAAGAAATCAGGAGTACGGTCACCGGTCACCTCAAAAACCGCCACATCTGCATTCCATCTACTCCTGGCTAGTTCTTCAGCCCTTATCCATTCATGTAGATACGCTCGAGCGGACCTTGGCAGCGGTTGCGTCTGGTCATCGAACCAGACGTAATCGGCTGGCGGTTTTGATGATGTCTTGCTCATCACCACGTTCGCTCTAAAAGATGCTGGACCCTGGAAAAATACGTTTTCGTATACCATCAGATACGGTTGGTTGGTTGTTCATCAGTTACTTGTAGACACCTTTATAGACAGCTTTCGTTCACCCTGAGAGATTACACCGATGTGTGACTTGGTATAGCAGCCATGACGTCCATATCACAGAGCTGGTGTTACAGACATTACTATCAAGGTAGAAAATAGAGGTATAATTGGGTAAAAAAAGGGGTAACTAACTGTAAATCGTAATGACTTGTGTCTGTATGACTATGTGATATCTTTGAGGTTCAGTAACTAATTAATATCAGTTGGGCCGCGCTTTTTTTCTGTCTAGAAGAGGTTGGGCGAGGGGGTGTTTGGGTGTGTAATACTCATTATTTAAGTATACTTGTTATGATGTAATGGGCTCATTTAATATCAGGTGAGAATATGAATATCTTGACTAGCACAGTAATAAAAGGCGTCGCGAGTCATTACCGTGGAGTTACACTGTGAATCAATATGTTAATCTAAGTAATTTTTTAGTCAGCTGACTTTGCAGATTGATGTATTTTATGTTATGCTATTATATATTATGTTATTACAAATACAATCAAGGTCTCAATCAGGCTTATAGAAACCTACCCTTTGCAGCAGAATTAAGCTCGATAATTATCGTGCATCATTTCCTACAAGCAGTGAAGAAATAAACAGTAATAGTACCGTCTGGTCACAACAGCAAGAATTATTGTTATTTTATTAGCAGAGTAACAAAACAATTAATACTCACAATGATTATAACGAAAGTTTATTTAGCGTTACGTAATTTTATAATAGAATTACGCGAATTTACCTAAAATTAAAGACAATCTTTGATTCCCGTAGTTATGTTACGTAATTCCATTATGATTTAAGTGTGTAAGTTTTAAAGCTATTAGCTTACGTCATTTAAAAGGAAATCTATACTAACATTATAAAGAGGAAAGATTTGTTTGTTTGTTTGTATTGAATAGACTCCGAAATTACTGAACCGGTTTGAAAAATTCTTTCTCTGTTTGAAAGCTACACCATTCCCGAGTGACATAGGCTATAATCTTTTTTGAAAAAAATTAGGGATCCTTACAAAAACTCCAATAATGTAACCGAAGGTGTAAAAAAATTACCTAAAATATTCTTTACATCGCGTGCGCTGGGAAAACTATTGATGATAGAATAAAATAATTTACTACGACTTTGTAGAACACATTATTATTTACAAAAAGTGTCGCGACGGCATATGTCTAACTATTGAAGTTATGCCACAATAAGTGTTCTTTTATTTAAAAGAAAAACAACGTCAAATATCGTTGAAATTATTGTTAAAGAACCGAGCGGAGCCGGAGCGAGCCGCTAGTATGTAATATAATTGTATGTCACATACTGGCTCTTAATAATTGATGCTAAGATTACCTTGCGTTAAGAGGTACCTATAATAAATAATTAAGGAATATTGAGTCCTAAGTGGTTATAAGCATGTCACCTAAGGATATTGAACTGTTTCCGGTTTTGAGTACTATTTTTATATTGTTTTGGATCTGCAGAATTCTCAACCATATTGTAAATGAGCCATATGAGCTCATAGATTTCAAAGAGTGTAGCAACCTTGAAACCTGAGGTAGGAGATCCTTTTGTATAGAGCAAACTCGGACTTATTCACTTTATCGGTCTAGCATGAGTTTCGAGCAAAATGAACAGGATATTTATACAACAATAAGATATTCGCTTTTAAATTTAAGTGAGAATCTTATCTTACCATTCCCCAAAGCTCTGGTTGCAATTCGTTGTCCCTAAATTCCCGAAAGGGACATTGGTATGGATCCACGTCGTAAACAATGATCTTAGTGACTTCAACACTCTTTTTCGACATTTTGTATAAACTTTTACATTAAACTGTTGTACACGCTTTTCAATAGTGATTGACACTAAATTTCTAAAGTAAGCGATCCACTAGTTTCAGCAATCGCGACGTTTTCGAATTACTTCAAACTACGTTCAATAATTTGAGCTGGAACTGGAGGATTTCTTTTTTGGTATGGGTTCAAGAAGTGTGCAAAAGGCAATAATGGTCTCTAGGCGAGTCGGGTGATGAGCTAGGTTGGGGCTCAAATCATTTGGCAGCTCGTATGTGTTTATGAACGATTTCCGCAATGTTTTATTGGCTTTTCGTTGAATAAAATCACTAAGTATTTTATTTTACTTTTATTTCACATGATTTTTTATCTGCTGATAAGCCGACGAGCTTACGATCAACCTGGTGTTAAATGGTTGCGAGTACCCATACAGCGCAAATATCGCCAGTCAACTTGAGACAGGCCTAAAGTTTTGTCTGGCCGATAAACTCACCAATGGATCGCTACTTTACACTTTTGGACATTTGGAAATGTCATTTTTTTTTAAACACGCAAAAACAGGATTCATGTCATTTTCAAAATAAGTTTTTTTCAAGTAGTTTTAATTATTTGTTTTACTCAAACGGGAAGACAAGCTTGCGATACCGAAATTGCTCTTTTATATCAGAGTAATTATCTACGGACATCACAAAAAAGGTGCCGCCGACATTTTGATATGTAGATATGTGTGCTAAGTTGCAATGATTTTTCTAGAATTGGAACGCTTTATTGCTTCGTGTGAGGTATAAGAAGGTGTTGACACCCACCCGAGCGAGCTCACAATACTTAACAAAAGTACTGCTATCGATAATGTGTATTGAATATTAATTATTTAATTCCTTTTTTTATTATTAATCAAATTTCAAGTTCTTCGTCACGGTAGTCATTTATGAAAAACTGTTTGGTTCGTCTTTTATTTATTGCCTTTGTAGTTAGACGAGCATACGGCCCATCTGATGGTGAGTGGTTACATCAGCAATCCCAGGGGCAGAGCTAAGCCGCTGCGTACCGTAAGTATTTTCGACAAGTCTCGTTTGAAGAAGGACATGTCATAGCGAAAATGTCGTATTTACTTGCAAACATTGGCTATTAGGATTGGCGGGTAATGGCGGTTTATATTTTTATTTCGCTTGAGAGATTAACTCTGATATTATTTTTTTTAGACTAAAATCCTTAAGGGACGATACGGAGGGGTAACCTAACCGGGAAAAACGTCAGAAACGTAAACACAGTGTACGACTTAACTTTGTAATAACGTACAAAAAATAAAATATTTCTTTATTATATATTTTTTATAAATCATGTTGAATAAAATAAAGTTGATAACTTTGTAAAGTAGTTTTTGGCACGAAGTTCCTTACGGCAGGCTTGGAGGGGATAGGGATTTTGCTGCGCGACCGAACTGAAAAAAATGTGATAGTAAAACCGTAAGAAAAAATCCGTGGAAAAAAGTGCGTGGAATAAAACCGTTAAATGAGACGTGCGCAGGCGCGACAGTCGCATACACAAGCGAGTAGTGTATAATACCTTTCTCTTTCTCCCTCTTTCTTTTCGTTCTCTCATCCATTCTCTTTCTATTTTACGTAATTTATTATTTCCTAAAATACTGAATTTCCTAAATACTTTCCTATACTTAAATAAAAACTAATCAGCAAAATTTAAGAGAAAAATCAAGAAAACCTACATAAAATTGAGCACGATTTTTTTTTGCAAATTGTGTCGATTCTACATTAGCCGAAGGAACTTCGTTCCTACCTGGTGTCCCACGACACCACATCTTTTTTTTAATTATTTTTATCAATAAAAAATCATAATAAAAATGTATACCCGAATAGTTATTTTCTTTATACCTTAAATAGAACTTAAAATTAATATTTTTATAATAAGGAACTTCGTCCTTATCCGGTGTCCCACGACACCACACATCTTATTTTATTGCTAAGGTGGATGGACGAGCTCACAGCCCACCTGGTGTTAAGTGGTTACTGGAGCCCATAGATATCTACAACGTAAATGCGCCACCCACCTTGAGATATAAGTTCTAAGGTCTCAAGTATAGTTAGTACGCATAGAGAAGGCTTTCACGGTAAATCGGATGACTTCCTGGATGAATGTACGACATAATAATATATCCGTCTGCATGGTATGCGGGCCTATCCAACTTAGTATTAACTTAGTTCATGTTTTGCTAATTATAGTAGTAATAGAAAGCTTCGTTGGTGTTACAAATTTCACTGTTTGATTATCAATTAAGAGCTAATATATTTTTATTGGGTTAATTCAATTAAAAATACTTTTACGATTTAATCACGCATTTTTTACTGTTGTTGTTACATTTTTTGTGAGTTTACGAATAATTTTACAAATTTCGTGGCCACGGTACAATGTATGTAACTGTAGGTACTTTTTTTATTCCTTACTATTGTTATAGCCTTGAGAGGTTATTTCAGCTTCGCCCTAACGTGTGTAGGTGAGCTCACGGGGCTCAAACCGAAGTATTGCTAACACTGACCCTAACAAGAGCAGTGCTTCGCAGAATCTACCACCGGATCGGAAACGCGACCCGCTGAGAAGATCCGACGAGAAACTCAGTGGGCTGTGTCTATGGGTTAATTCGCTCTTCGAGCCCTTCGTCGCAAGCGATGGATTCGACGAGGACGGTGACCGATGCTTGTGGTGCCTAAAAGCACCGTTAATGGATCAGGAGGATCCGTAATGACGTGCTTTGGACGACGTCGACGGTTTACCATTCGGTCTACAGGATCGAGTATGTAATTTCCAGCGGCCACGACAAGAGGGTTCTCATTTCGTGCCGCCTTCTCAGTGGCGCAGCGATGCCGACTGTAGACACTTACTGACAGAGTCGAGCTTTAGGTCATCGTGGTAGGAACGGTAAACGTATCTATCTAAATGTATTAATCTAAGTCTGTGTGAAAGGCAATAAATGATTTTATTATTATTATTAATAGCACTTCGAGGCTGGAAGAAAGGGAAGCAACAAATAAAAGTATATAACCTAGACGTTTCGCTCAAGCAATTCTTTTCAATTTGAAACTCTTATTAACAAACGCGATCAATAAAAAGTGTGCTCGACATTTTCAAGGCAAACGGCTAGTTCCTTTAAATGAAATGTCAGCAGACTTGTGTGACGCTTTACCAACACCTGTTTGCTATGTTTGTTTGTAATTTAATATTAGAAAAATAGTTTGATGTTATTGGAACGAAGTTCCTTATGGGACGATGCGGAGGGGTACCCTAACGGGGAAAAAACGTCCGTAACGTAAGATGTTTATTAGTAATGCACACAGTGTACGACTTAATTTTGTAATAACGTACAAAAAATAACATATTTGTCGGCGCAAATATGACTATTTACCTACCTATTATAAGAATAATAATGATTCAATGTGATAATCGGATAATCTGGTCATCAACTAATTACTCTGTGTTTGTTAAGATGAGAAATTGATGTAAAAACAGTCCTGTCAAAACTTGTAAACACGCTGACGTGTACCAAGCCCTATAAATTCGGCCGTGCTGTCTAGCGCTGATTCATTCGTGTCCGAGCCGTAGTACAGTACGGATCTCTCTGAACGTTGTCACGCTTCTCGTCAAATATACGCAGTTATTGTGAAGTTCTGGTGAAGTTTTGTTTCGGAAGCCCAAACATGAGTTATCGTCAACAAAGCAATAACCGTGACGTCAGCAATGCTGACGTCACACTTTTTAAAAACGTTCCTTAATTATCTACCCCGACATCAGAAGTGAAGGATCAGGACTCTACTCTCACTGGCGTGACGTGTTTGAACATGATTACCAGTAACGGTATCTGAGATCACGGGTCAGAAATTCTTCGGGAACAGACAGATTCCGATCCATGTGCCTGGTGCGCTACGGTTGATATGTACCTCGATGAACGTCTACTGGATGGTGCACGGCTCATTGTAGTCTTCAGTGGGGCCCTGAAAGGCGGTGCCTTATCATGTTGTCGCGGATTTCATACGTAAGTGTCACATGGAGGCATTTGCGACTTATTTCTCGCTCGTTATGCAAAATTCTTGCTGCGACGCTTATCAATTTAAGCAATGGTAAGCCACAAAAGCGTGAATGCAGCATACGCAAGTCGTGTAATAGCGTCTGCTACCTCGATGGAAGATCTGAGCCACGAAGAAACTTTATCACATGTCATTTACTAGCGGAAATACGACTCGTAACAAGCTGTTGGAAGAAATTAAGGCAAGTGCAAGTCTCAAGTGGAAGTTCTATCGCAATAATGGATCTGTCATGACGGCAAGCAACCAAGCAAGTTTTCGTGGGGAAGAAAATTGACACATTTGAAGTCGTCGTGACCTGTAAGATACAACGTCCGGTGCGTTCATGTCTGACGATGCGGCGGTGTTCGGGTCCCGCAGGCGGATGCCAGTTTTTCCGGTGAAGTGTATGCTTGACAAGTGTTCGTGGTTGACTTCCGCAGTGTGGGAGTAACATCGTGTAGTAGAGGTGGAACCCGCAAAATTGTAATTTGCGTGGTGGCTGGTGGTAAGATGTCTTGTGAGTCTGCACAGGTAGCCGGAGGTGAGACTTCCGCGGTCGCAGCCCACCCAGTCTGCGAGAACCGGACAGATCGCCTCGACGGTACGGAGGCCGGCCGACGGGTCCGCCAAACGACGAGACCACGCCTCCAGCACGGACTGCCGAGTCTGGAGCCCCCGCGTTCCGGCTGCACTTGCGCTAGGGCACGCCGCCTCGTAGGAGACTGTGAGGTATCCTTGAATGACTCTGACCGCGATCGCGCGCTGCCGCCGTCGCAGCGCGGCGACGTCCTAGTGGGTAAGGACGTGACACCAGACGGGTGATCCGTATAGTGCCATCGACCGCACGGGTACCGTCACCCTGCCTATTTCTGCCGTGAAGCAGTGGTGTATTTCGGTTTGAATGGTGGGGCAGCGGTTGTAGCTATGCTGAGACCTTGGAACTT